CGGGGCGGGCGGGTACCGGGGCCGGGCAGCCCGCTGGGCCCGGCTGAGCCCCGTTCTGCTCCGCAGGGCCTGATCGCCGGCGCGGCCGTGGCCGGGGCGCTGCTGCTGGCGCGGAGCCTCCGCCTGGTGAGAGCGGCACCGGCCCGGGGGGCGGGGGGAGCCCGGTGCGGGCCCGGGGGATGCGGGAGAGCCCGGTGCGGGCCCGGGGTGCGGGGGGAGCCCGGTACGGCCCGGGAGAGCCGGGGCAGCCCGGCACGGCCGCTGGGGCCCGCGGCGGAGGGGCCGTGCCGGGCTCTCCCCGGTTCTGCGGGACCGTGCTGATCAGCCCCCAGCCCAGCCCGGGTCCCTTTGGCCACGGTGGTCACTGGTCAGTGGTCAGTGGTTAGTGGTCACTGGTCACTGGTTAGTGGTTAGTGGTCACTGGTCAGTAGCCACTGGTCACTGGTCGCTAGTCAGTGGTCACTGGTCAGTGGTTCACTAGTCAGTGGCCACTGGTCACTGGTCACTAGTCAGTGGTTACTGGTCAGTGGTCACTAGTCAGTGGCCACTGGTCACTGGTCACTAGTCAGTGGTCACTGGTCAGTGGTCACTAGTCACTAGTCACTGGTCACTGGTCAGTGGTCACTATTCACTGGTCACCGGTCAGTGGTCACTGGTCACTGGCCACTGTTCACTGGTCACCGGTCACTGCTCACTGGTCTGTGGTCGCGCTGTCCCCCTCTGGAATTGCCATTTTCCAGGGAGGGCTCAGCCCGGCTGCCTGCAGGGCTGGTGGCTCCCGCCCAGACAGCCCATTCATCTTGGCATTGTCTCCCCTTTTCCTTAAAGCTAAAGATTAGCCAGGCGTGCAAGGTTCACCGTGCGATTGCTTAATCATAACGGCCCTGCTACAGCTACTGATTAACGAGTGAAAAAAGCCTGCAAGGTTTGATTCGGGTCTTGAGGGGCTCGATGTCACTGTCCTGTGGCATCTCCAGGGGTCCCTGGTTCTCGCCTGTTCCTGCAGCCCCTGGGAGGGGTCCTGGCCCCTCTGCCTGTCCCACTGCAGCTCGACACCCTTCCTTGTCCAAACACAGCTGAAACAGCCTCTTGCCTCGCATGTTCTCTGTCCTTCCACACGCAGAACCGCTTCTGAATGGGTTTAAACATCACCCAAATCTTTCCTCGCTCCCAGGATGGTCAGGGCACGCTGGGCTAACACTACGCTGCTCACTCCTGGAGAAGCTGAACCTCCACAGGCAGGAGCCACCATGTGCCACAGGGCTGCAGCTGCTTAAAAAATCACGGTTACCTTCGTCTTCCCCCTGCACAATTCCAAATTATACAAGAGAACATTTGTGTGGAGTTTTTACTTAAAAATCCTACCAGAGAACCTGAACTACAAATGTTGGCAGAATTCTTTTTCTCTCTTTTGTCTGGTTGGTTTTGACCCAAAGGCCCCTGAATGCATTAACCTGGTTGGTGGAGCAAATGAGATGAGTTTTGAGCAACTTTTGTTCCTAAAAACCTCCAGGCCTCCTGCCTGCAAGGTCCCAAATTCCCGTGTTCCCAGTGGGAGGCCCTATGGGCCCCAGAGGGGGAGGTTTGCTGGATAAATAACACACAGGAGACACAGCTTTAGTTGTGGTGTTTTTGGGGTTTATTTCCCAGCTCAGTGGGTGTCACAGCTCTGTGACTCAGTGCTCTGCTAAGGCCTTTTACAGTGAGATATCAGTGCCTTAAATTTTGGTGATCATAATTTTCTGGGGTCTCACGTGTCCTCCTCCCTCACCGCAGAGCTGTGGCTGCTCCATTCCTGTACCACAGCCCAAGTCTTTGCTGCTGCTCGGCTTGGTTTTCCTGTGAGATCACATAACCATCCCCTTTGGATCCTCCCAGGCTGTAGTATCAAATTTAATCTTCTTGTGATCTTCTCAGAGCTGTTCACCTGCCTTTGTCCCTCTCCTGGTTTCCTCCGGCATCAAAGGCGGGGTTGTTTCTGCCCTCCCTGCTCCGCCTTTGTTTTCAGCGTGTCTGTCCTCTGGCTTCCTCTCACCCCTCTCCCAGCCCCATTCAGGCTGCTTCTAAAACACTCTTTTCTGGGGGAATCAAGTGAACTTCAATAGGCATTGCTTGAAAAACGGCAGTTTCTGTTCTTTCTCTAAACCTGGTTTTTATGTCTGTGCTGACGTGGCAAGTCCTGTAAAACAGGGAAAATGTTAAGTGTGGAGAGGCTGCACAGCTTCTGCAGCTGGTCACTATTAAATATATATCTATATTCACTTGCCCATCGTGTCTAATAATAGAGGTGGAATTTCCCAAACTATCGTAAGATGTTGGATTTAGTGTGGCTGTAACTGCTCTATGGTTTTGTTTTTTTTTTTAATTTTGTCTTTCTCTTCCTTCCATCAACAGACAACAAAGTTCATAAGTCCTTTGGATATACCTGTGGAATTTGTACAAAAGAATGTGAAATTGAGAGGGAAATTACATCACATCACAGAGAAGGGCCTGGAAGTTGAGCACATTCCCATCAGCATTCCTTTCAT